TCAAATAGAATAAAAACCTCCATACATCTGTAGAGTCTGACAGCTTTCTGATGTTTTACACTCTGAGCCATTTTACATTTAATGTATTTTTAATTACTTTGAGAATAAATATATAAGGGTACGTAAGCCTAAAGCAACATTTCTTGTTCTGCTATTACAAAACAATGGCGAATGTGTTGGCATTTCATTCTGGTGTGTGATAATAGAAGCAATGACATTTTTCTTATTTTTTTATGTTTTGTGCATTTTTACAGTGTATATCTAATGCTTGCTTTTATTCTCTTGTTTACTTATTGTGTCCAACCTTAATATTGTAAACATTTTAAACAATAAAAGAAAACATAGGATAAGACAAGATAATTGTTCACGAGATGCATGAAAAAACTGTACTGCACACACAATATAATTTTTTTCTCTGTCATGTTGTTCTGATGGCAACGAAATATGTAACATAATAAATAATAAAATGTTCAAACATGAATTTATACATTTGATTGTTGACTAAGCTTCGAGGACAAGTTAAAGCCAATCATCAGACTTCAGTTCTCTGTTCCTATGACAGCTGTAATTATCCGACTCTTTCCCAATTTTATTCTGAAAATCTATGTGCTGTGTTGAGAAATGCCTGAGTGATGAGATAAATCCTTTGAATCTACACAGCACTTTCATGCTGATGACTGCAGTGTGCTGCCCTCAGGTGGTGTAACTGTATTTATTCTGGCAGTCTGGTGGATAGAATTGTTATTACACCAGTACAACAATATTAGAACACAGCGTATAAAACACATTGGTATTGATTACTGAGCAGGTTATCTTTCTGGATAAACTCTCCCTGAGGCTATAGCCTACAGATAATGGACAGTTAAAGAGACAATCTGATCTTTTTTAGCTCGAGTTAAACCTGCATTAAAATGTCTAACACGACTAGAACTTGGTTATATATTTTGTTAAGTTCGTACTTACATTATCCCAAATGTGTTCTTTAAATAAAACACTATTACACACATGTATTGAATATTTGATTTCTATTGAAATATATGAAATGTTCTGTATGTTTGTATGTTATAAATACAATACGTGCAGAAATACTTTTTGGAAATAATACATGTGTTCATTTTATTATTTCACATTAATTAAGTGATTGACTTCATAGACAAAAAACCTCTTCACCTGTGGGATCAGCAGTTCCTGTTGAGGTAGAAGGTAGAGGTAGAAATCTGTAATGTACTGTCACATAATGTAACTGGATCAAGAAATCTTTGGGTTTTGCCACTTTGTTAGAGTGGTATTTGGTATAGGACAAGTTATTAAAATGAAATAAAATTAAAAAAAGGTTAACATGTTAATTTGTTGGCCAGTCGATTTACCACCTTGGTCCAGACTGAAATATCTAATATATAATCGATTGTCATGAAATAGAATGCAGGATAAATATTTAATTTTGGTGATCTCCTGAACGCCATACTCAGGTATTTATTAGCAAATGTTTGCATGCTAACATGGTGAGCCTGGTACATATTATAACCTATAATATACAGTATATATATTACCTGTGCTAGCCTTCTTTAATGCTAACACACATGTTTCTGTTCAATTACATGTTTTTCTTTGCAGTCCTGGAATGTTTTTATCCTGGTTCAGTCATGTAAATCATGTTGTAACTCTGTTTTTGTAAAGTGATGAATAAAGTTTATTATCATATATATTATTAGAAACATCATCATGTTAACATTGTACCTAAATGTTAACATCCTGATGTTAGCATTTAGCTCACAGCACTGCTATACACAGAAGAGTTGTTTGTAAAACTTCTATTATGATGAAATTAGTAAAAACAATGAGGCATTAGTGAATATTAACCATCATGTCTGATGTTCAGATGTTCAGAACATGCAGTTGTGTTTTATTAGGTTGTTATATAAGTCATGTACAATAACAAAGGGTTAATGGAGGTAATTATTAAACATGCCAATCCTGTGTGTGTCTTGATGACAGGTTTCATTTATTGCAGATAATATCAGGGACATGTATTCCATTGTTGCACACACACAGCGGGAGGTCAGACAGCATTAGAAGAGGACCAAACTGAGTAATACACCATGAATTATACATTTCTCAGATCAGCCATACTTGTGTTCCTCTTTTCAGGTAAGACATTTATTGAATGATTTTCAATTTGATCATCAATAGAAGTACATGTTGTGAAATGTTGATTAACTATGTTCATATTTCAGTAGGTGTTTGCTATGGAGCCGGTGTACTCACTGTTGACTCACTTCGCGGAGCAGCAGGGGAGAGTGTGACCTTCACAACATCTGTAAAACCAACCGGTGAACCATTTCTGGCAGTGACTTGGAGCTTCAACGGTATCGGCAATGTAATAACCTCAACCAGTGAAGATGTAGTGGGACAAGGCTATGAGAACCGGATCACCCTGAATAAAACCACCGGATCTCTGGTACTTAGAAACCTGACTGAAAAAGACAGCGGAGAATATGAACTAATCATCGTCCCACATGGAGCAGTGCAGCTTCAAGGAGCTGCAAAGCTGGAAGTTCTGAGTAAGTAAGATTTAATAATCTGATGCTGTATTTTAATCAGAATATTTCTGATTCTGATTCTGATTCTCTGAAGTAAGATTTAATAATCTGATGCTGTATTTAATGTTGGGAAAGAATACAAATTTGGGGAAAAAAGCACAGTGAATGATGCTCTAATATTATCTTTCTATTAATTTTTTCCCTTTCTTTTTGCACAGCCAAAGTGTCAATACCCACTATAGCCTGTCCCACAGAAAACTTAATAGAAGGTAAAACCTCTGTGAACCTAACCTGCGATGCTGATGGCTTCGTGTCTACCAGAGTGTGGATGAAGGACGGCCAACCTCTGGTTTCTGGAGAGAGATACAGCTTTCACGATGGCAACAGAGTGTTGTCTATCAGCCCTGTGAACAGGACAGACACCGGAGAGTTTCTTTGTAAAGTCAGCAATGATTTCAGTTCTGCTACAGCCAAATGCGCACTTAAAGTCTATTGTGAGTATTTACTTATAATTGTTCAAGCCTTTATAATATTTTTTTTTTCATTCTCATAATAATAGTTACTCCTCTTCTTCCTCATCTGTTCAGATGGACCTGACAAACCAAGAATCGTTCAGACACCAATAGGAGCAGAACTCGAAGACAGTGTCACTCTTTATTGCTCTGCTGACTCCCTACCAAAGGCAACTTTCTTCTGGACGTTCAAACACATGAAGATGTACGGGGCCATGCACTACATCCATGAGATGGAAGAGAGGCACCTGGGGAGGTACACCTGCACCGCCCGAAATGCCATCACTGGCCTGGAAGCCTCTGTGTTCCACACACTGCGTGGTATTTGAGCTCTCTTTCATATTTATCTAACTAACAGTACTAACCTGTCAATACTGTTATGTGATTGCAAATAATGGAAAAGACAGAGTAATGTTTTTTTCTTCTGATCCAGACTCCTCTACTCCCATCAGTGGTTCTATGTCCATGTTGGTTTGCACTGTCCTGACCTCGGTTGGACTCATATTAGTCTAAAGACTGTCTGTGGAAATAGACGTTACTTGCTCATTTTGATCAATCATTGTGTTTATTTTAGATCATTCTTCTGTGTTTATCATTGTGGCGTCTCTTTAAATTGTATGTTCACAAAAAATAAAGCTGTGGATGATAAATGATAAAATGACAAACCAGTGGTACTTCATATTTACTTTTGTCCCTGCAGTATTTTTTTAAAATAATTTTCTTCAGTAATATACATTTGTGACATTAATTGTTGTAATTTATGTTAAGTAACAAATGAAGTATTGCTAATTGCTGTAAAGGTGTATCTCACTTACAAAGTAAATCTTTTCTCCATAGCAGCTTTGGTCTTATGACAGTTTCAGCTTTAATAAATCAATCTTAACACTGTGATGTTTTTAGGTCTCGTATATCAGACCTGACACTTCAAATGTGTGATAAAGTGTCTCATGTTCTGACTGAAGCTTGATGATGCCATGTCAAACTGTCCCTATAATAAACTTTTATTAAAACTCTGTATCAGAGTGTTGTGTGTTAATGAACACCATCATGTGCCTTCAATTCTTTCCTATTTTTTTGTTCCACAAGGGTGCACCAGTGTGCTGCCATGAACCCTTAAAGCATGCTGGAACCTACATTCACTTAAGTGAGCTTCACCGTGTTATACACAAAGATGTTGCCATGACCAGTCCTTGCGGACGTATTTGTGGCAAAAAAAAAAACACAAGGCATTAATTACATACTAAACCTTCTTAAAAGATTACTTTTTAAGAATACACCAGAATATGTAATTGTTTTTAAAATTAATACTGATATAAATATATGACCAAATCTGTAATTTTATCAACTCCAACAAAAAAACACCCTAAAGTTGCAGCAAAGTGTCAAAGTATATTGTGCAACAATACCAACCAAACCTCCATGATTATACAGAATGTTAAAACACAATCTCACAATTGTGACACTAATGTAACACTTTTCATTTCAAAATTACCTGTGTATTTGTGTAGCTTACAGTATGTACAGTACTTGTGCTTTAGAGAATATAAACACAGTATTATCTTTTGTCTTCTACAGTCATTTTCTATTATTTTATTGACAGTTTTTTCAGCTACTGTTTTTATTCTCTCCTGCTGATACAGAACTGATCTTCTCTTATAGTGCCTGTAACAACTGTATTCTTCGTTTTTTATGACATAATGCAATGTGACTATTTAGTTCTTATCAAATTATAACCATTATAAAGTTTTATCAAAACTGGACACGTTGATTTGTACAGGAACATGTGAGCTAACCCTAACCTTACAGGTAGAAAGTAGACCTCGGTATAGATCTACTATTCACTGATACAGAAACTACTCCTAAAAAATATCCACAAAAGCACATTATGTTCAACATGTGGCTTTATTATTTTTATTATCACTGAGTTCACTGTGTTGTAAATTCATAATATCAGTATAATATATTGAGGCTGCAACACTCCAAGGGAGTAAAGGTTTGACTGCATGAGAAAATGTCTGAGTGAATAAGATCCATCAGATTTAATGTTGTAAACATAAAATATGCAGTGATGTATATTTTGATGCTAAAGATTTTAATAAACATACACCACTGTTCAAAGGCATTGCCTGCCAGGAAAGCATCATTCGGTACAGTTAGATGGCTGAGAGGATTATTTTTGATGGTTTTCTTTTAGGTTGTAGAAAATCCTCTTCACAAATAGATGTTATTTTGAATGATGGTTTGACCTACTGACAATTGAAAGGGCAAAAAGAGACAAAGGTATCTATGAGCAGTTAAATAAAAATATAAGAAATCATCAGTCATGGATAAAACAAATTATGAAGCTAAGCATTAAAATATTTCAAGTGAAACTATTATTTTCTTTTCCATTGCTGCAGCATACACTGTAAGTGTAAGTGGGGTTTATTAATGAGGAATTTATTGTAGGATTGATGAAAAATCAAACAAATGCTTGCATTTGCATCCAATAATACTGGCATCTTATACAGTACAGTTGATGGTTTTACATCTAAACAATGGAAATTATCTCACATTTGCTTTCCACTAGAAGGGTTGTCAGAAATCCCAGCTTGTCACTGGTTCAAAGCTCAGATACTGTAACAATAACAACAGGGCTGACGCTGTTAAACACAGTTTAATAGTGCACACTGAAGTTGCTAACATTGCTTGTGACTGAAACAAATTAGAAAAACAATAAGGCAACGTTAACATAATGTCAAAATATTTTAATGCTATATATAGGCTGCTATAGGCAGGGATCTCAACTTACTTGACAATATATATCAAATACATTACGCAGGCACATATTTTTGCATTCATGCAAGTAGGCCATTTTATGTCTATGTTCAGGTTCAGCACATTATTTAAGTTGAGCTTTTAAAGTTGCTTTTGCTAGCAATTCTGTCCACTCTGTCTGAGATGTTATGACGATTTTGTTGTTGTTTATAGATATGAATGTACCTGAGGTTTGCTTATTGATCTGATTTATAACAACTAAAACATAATATAGCAAAAGATAAGAATAACACCCACCCAATCACTTCTCACATTATTGGCATGGCTCTTGTTGATGATTAGTTTTTTCAGGCACCACTAAAGACGTAAAGGTTGTACCAGGTGAAAGAGTCTATTGTCCGTCAAACACACATACTGTAGTCACAGCACCTCCTCTCTGAAAACACTTTCTACTTGCCTGGAGGAGATATGGAAACATCTGTGATACTGTTGATCATCCTGGGAGCCATCTCCGGTGAGTTTTTACCATTTCAGTTTCAGACACAATTATTCAGGTTAAATTTAATAAGCTGATGATGAATATTATTTCAATTATGACAGTTTAATATGCTAAACAGTGTAATATCAAAGGTTCTCTCCAGCTATGCTTCTCCTGTCTTACTTTTAAGGCAGTGCTGGATCTAACAAAAGACCAAAGTATTTAAGTCTATTTGTATTATTATCTATATCTATGCATTATTATTATTATTCTCTAAAACAGTGGCATGCACAGAAAAAAGTTTACTTTACTGGGTAAGAGTTCATTCAGTAATTTTTAATGATCAAAGTATTAATAATGTAGCCACTACTTTTATTTTTATACAGTTTTGATAAAGCTCTGCAATATTTAAATTCATCTTGATAATGTCAATGTAGGTATGAGGTCTTGCAGGTTGGCAGTACTCTCATGACCTTTGTTACACAACCTGTACTTGCTAATATGACACCTGAGATAGAAGATTACACATATTATATTTTAAAGACCCACCTAATCTTGTTTTCATTCTAATGACTTGATACCGATTTTTTATCACCAGCATTTTGGTGTAGAGGAGATAGCACCTCTCTGAGTCTGATAGTTTTGAAAGCTGGATTTAATGTTTGTGTCTGGTATCTTAAATAAAGATTACATTCTTCAGTGATACACAGTGCATTGTTATCTGAGTTTCAGTCACATTTATTCCAAACACGTAATTGTGTCCTCCAGGTTTAAGCCACGGAGCTGGTGTGCTACCAGACAGTCTTATTGCAGTTGTGGGAGGGACGGTGATGTTCACCACAACACTGACTCCATCAGAAAAACCGTTCCTGGCAGTCACCTGGCGTTTTTCTGATACATTCAATATAATAACCTCGAGTAGTGTAAACCTGACTGGACCAGCATATACAGACAGGATAACCCTCTTCACATCTACAGCATCTCTGGAGGTCAGAAATCTGACTCTTAATGACAGTGGAGAATATTCAGTCACCATTATACCAAATGGTGAAGGAATGTTGAACGGAATCTGCAAACTGGTCGTATATGGTACGTTGATACATCACTGTTTCACTGTTATACTTCCTTGCTTTACCCTCCCCTTCCAAGCATGAAAAAGAAACTACAGTGGCCACAAAATGCATAAAAAATGGAAACAGACCTATCTTGAGCCAGTGTTCGGTTTGTCAATTCTGGGCTTCAGTAGAAACATGGCGGTTCAACATAGTGGCCTCCATGGAAGGTGACCCACTCTCCCACTGTAAATAAAAACGGCTCATCCTAAGATAGAGAAACACAGCTATTCCTGTATTCAGGTGATTATACATTAATGAAAACATACACCATTTATATACAGTATATGTGTATATATCATGCTATTAGAGAAAACATACCCAAAGTTGTTGCTTGATGAAATACGAGAAGCCAAGAGAAGTTTTACAAGCAGTATAAAAAGTTAAGAGGGTGTGTAAGAGTTGACACAATGGAAATACTTAACTAAAACTCACTCAATAAGACCATGCTTACTTGAAATACAACAATTTCAGTTTTCTTTGTCAAATCATTGGAACAGCTAAATCTTCCCACAGTTATTCTTACAAATGTGACTTTGAATTACACAGGTGTGAACTTTCCTTCAGCGTTTTTCTTATGCAATATCAGTTATCAGTTCAATAAAACCTGACTTTGATTGACAAACAGGGAGCAAGTGTATACCAAGTCCCAGTTGTCTATCATTGGTGTGGTTTCTCATCATTTAAATCTAGAAAATTATAATCATTGTTTTGTGTTCAGATCAACAGAATCAGTTCTGTGTAATTATTATTTTGTTTATTTCAACCCACAGAGCCAGTCGACAATGTAACAGTAACTCCCAGCAGCACAGACTTGGTGGAGTTCAACAACTCTGTCAGTCTGTCCTGCTCCTCCTCTGGATCCTCTCTGTCTTTCCTCTGGCGGAACAGCAGCTCTGAGATTACAGCCAGTGACAGAGTTCAGCTCACTAATGAGGGCGCCACTCTCACTATAGTCAGTGTGACCCGCTATGACCAGGGACCATTCAAGTGTCATGTGTTCAATTCCTTCAGTAATGGCACCAGTGATCCAGTTAAGCTCTCCATCAGCTGTGAGTTACTAACCTGCACGTATATCGTGCATATACACACTTTTTTTCTGAAGTTACTAACATTTCTATTGCTGACTATTTGTGTTTACTTTTCATGTGCCTACACTGTAGATGGCCCAGAAAACATTAATTTGACAATATCTCCATCACAAGAATGTTATGGGGAAGGGTCAAACATCACCCTGTCCTGCTCAGCTGTCTCCAGACCCTCTGCCCTGTTTTACTGGTTTCTAAATGGAGACAGGTTGTCTGATACTGGACCAAAGCTCAGACTGATGAACATTCAGAACAGCCAGAGTGGAAACTACAGCTGTCAGGCCTTTAACAACAAAACTCTGAGATATGAAACATCTCAGCCGTCAGTTGTATCTGTACTGGGTAAGTTGAACCGAATAGGTTCTTACATTAGAGACATAGTCACTAAGAATTTACTGTCAACTAGTGCATCTATTTGAATTAGTTTGCCTTATATTATATATCAAATAAAATAAAATTTCCTCACATTGTATGCTGCTTGTACCTACATCAAATTGAATGAAACCTTTATGATGCTTATTAAATATATATACAGAAACAGATTTTTGGTGGGTGTTTTTTGATCAGACTCTAGATGACTTGTGCATAACTGTCAGTTCTTCTCAGTACTAAAATTTTTCTAAATGCTACTCAAAATATTGTTCTCCCACAGAGCCAGTATCCAATGTGAAGGTAAATGCCAGCACAACAGACATTTTGGAGTTCAGCAGCAGCTCTGTCCGTCTGTCCTGCTCCTCCTCTGGACCCTCTCTGTCTTTCCTCTGGCTGAATGGCAGCTCTGAGGTTACAGCAAGTGACAGAGTTCAGCTCACTGATGGAGGCACCACTCTCACTATTATTAATGCAACCCGCTATGACCAGGGGCCATTCAGGTGCCATGTGTCTAATCCTGTCAGTGATGGCACGAGTGATCCAATAAAGCTCTTGATCATCTGTGAGTTATTTCATCTTAAATCATGTTACTTCAAATCCCAGGCAGTTAAAAATGTCAAGCTTGATTTGTCACAGTTGGAAATTATCTTTGTTGCTTTGTTCTCGCTGGTCAGGAGTAAGTGATCACTACAGATAGGATCATAATTATGAATTTTACTGATACAAAGTAGCTATCAGTCTTGAGTTAGACTCACTGTCACATGTACTTTTTGCCTCAAACATTATTTTTTATGTTCTTTTTGCTGCTGTTTCTATATTATTGTTGAATATATCTTTTTATGTGTCTTGATGCAGTTGGCCCAGAAAATATTAATCTGACACTATCTCCATCACAAGAATACTACGACGAAGGGGCAGACATCAGCCTGATCTGTTCAACTCTCTCCGGACCTCCAGCCTTGTTTAAGTGGTTTCTGAATGGAGATCCGCTGTCTGATGCTGGACCAGAGCTCAGGCTGATGAACATTCAGATGAGTCAGAGTGGAAACTACAGCTGTCAGGCTTTTAACAACAGAACTATGAGAAATCAAACATCTCAGGCTGCAGCTGTCTCTGTACTAAAATGTAAGTTGGAGTGAGTGAGGCCTAAAATACGTTGCACCTAGCACTTACTGTAGGCTTTTAGTGTTTCTGAAGGTTAGAGATTGTAGAGGCTTTTGAGCAGATATTTTTCAAGCAGTCTGAAAAAAGAAATAAAACATGTACCTTTGGGTAACACTTTATGATACAGCCCTCAATTTACAGGATATTTTCACTGTACGAATCAGGTACCAGTAAAGTAATTATTGGTACAAGATTGTTGGGAAGAAGGTAGGAAAAAAATTGCATTTTGGAGGAAAAGAGAAAAATAATATGTTTTATAGTATTAACTGGGTGCTGTACTGGAAAACAGGTTTGGGGCAAATGGTGTTAACACTGATATTCTGTGAAAGCTATATAAAGTAATTATGAACAGATATAATATGCTACCAAAACTGTGGGGGTAGCCTTTTGTACCACAAAGGTACCAAATATTTATAAAAAAAATATTTATTTCTCTTTCAAAATGGCTTGTTTTCTTCCTCTGTATGTAGATTTAAGTAGCATTGGGAACTGTAAGTATCTTATTGGTACCTAATTCATACAACACAATTACACTGTAAATAGTGAGCTGTATTTTAAAGTATTGCCTACCTTTGCTCTTCTCGTTTTATGGGTCAGAAATAATTCCTTAGAGACTGTTTAGTTATGTTGTTTGATGCAGAGCTGGTACAGAACTTAATATACTTTACTGAATGTAATGCATTGTTTTTTTTCTACCCATAGCAGAAGTCTCCAACGTTATAATAACTCCCAACACCACAGATTTGTCAGAGCTCAGTACCTCAGTCTGTCTGTCCTGCTCGGCTTCTGGATCTTTCCCCTCTTTCCTCTGGCTGAACGGCAGCTCAGAGGTTACAGCCAGCGACAGAGTTCAGTTAACAGATGAAGGCTCCACTCTCTCTATAATTAATGTGACACGCTACGACCAGGGACCATTCATTTGTCATGTGTTCAATAATTTCAGTAATTACACCAGTGATCCAGTGAAACTCTCCATCAGCTGTGAGTTACAGATCTTACCTGCATAATCAGTCTCTGATGTTTGCTAATGCTAGATAGACCTTTAAATTTGTGGCTTGATTCATGATTATTACAACCATAATGTCAGGAGTGGTTTTGTCTAAATTAGTTTTTACTGTGCTCCGTGCTGTTTCATTGTTGCAGTGTTTGGCTGGTACTGAGTAAATGATCGCTGTATTTAGTATAATGATAGAATGACAGTTCCACAGTTGGACAACATACTTAACAGTAATGACCACTTCACACAGAATGCATTGTGCAGCTTTTCTCAAGCTACTATCCTTTCACTGTTGACCGTACTGTCTTGTGTCTTTTTCCCAGTTGGCCCAGAAAATATTAATTTGAAGCTGTCTCCGTCACAAGAATACTATGATGAAGGATCAAACATCATTCTAATGTGCTCAGCTGACTCCAGACCTTCTGCCCAGTTTCAGTGGTTTCTGAATGGAGATCTGTTGTCTGATACTGGACCAGAGCTTAGACTGATGAAGATTCAGATGAATCAGAGAGGAAACTACAGCTGTCAGGCCTTTAACAACAAAACTCTGAGATATGAAACATCCCAGCCTGCAGCTGTCTCTGTACTGAGTGCGTTTGTTAAATGGTTACAATAAAATGGCTTTAAGTAATTTTAAGACTTGACTTGCTGCTAACCTCTTTTTTTCCCTTCTTTTTTTACCCACAGCACAGGTCTCCAATGTGGTGGTGACTTCAAACAATGCACACCTGTTTGAATTCAGCAGCTCTGTCAGTCTGTCGTGCTCCTCCTCTGGATCCTCTCTCTCTTTCCTCTGGCTCAACAATAGCTCTGAGGTTACAGCCAGCAACAGAGTTCAGCTCACTGATGGAGGCGCCACTCTCAGTATAACTAATGTGACCCGCTATGACCAGGGACCATTCAGGTGCAATGTGTCAAATGGTGTCGGTAGTGGAATCAGCCGGCCACTGAATCTTTTCATCCAATGTGAGTTTTATGACAAACTCTACTCTCAGGCCCACACACTTCTATTAACATCACTTATATGATCAGCGTAAGTGTGAAAATGAGTGCAAGGACTCCAAATGCCATATGAGGAACATCAAAGCAGTTCATAAAATTAAATACGGTAATTTTGTGACTAAAATAGCGTAAGGGTTTATATTTTATATGTAACATATGTACATGGAACTGTTTGTTCCTCATATCAAGATGTAACAATTCAGTATCTTTATAAACCAAACAACAAGACACATTTTACCTGTAAAAGTGTTTTTGCTAGGTCTTCAGATTAAATTGATTTTACTATAATTATTTTTAGATTCCATTAAACAGTGCACAATTAAGAGTGCTACAGCTCTCAGTCCTCACAGATTTATCAGAAATGTGTAAAAAATCTGGGAAAGTGGACAACCCTTCTGTTTAGCAGAGCTGGTTAAGAGTGAAACCTGCATTTCCTTCAAGGCATCAGGGGCTCAACCATTGGGGCTCAACTTAGGGAACCAAAGTTCGACGAAGTGTGTTGATCGCTTAGCCTTCCATTAATTGTGATTCACAGTTCTAAATACATACAGGATGACTGAGCAAATGACTCTACAATAAAACTACAGCATGAGCTTTGTAATGATATGGCAGATTCTGAAGACTTAAAGCCATAGCAATAAAACTCATACTCACATTAAATCTGTCAAAAACAAGTCAAAGCAATAGTAACTTAAAACAATCTGACTCTTTGGTTATGTTGCAGATGGACCTGACAACGTTGCCATTATAGGACCTGCATCCATGCGTGTTGGAGATTTCACAATGCTTTACTGCTCCACTATGTCTGTACCATCAGCATCGTTCATGTGGCTTTTCAATGGAGAGCCAACCAGTTTTAACGAGGCTGTGTACGTGATATCGTCCATCAGACGCTCTAACAGTGGGACGTACACCTGCAGTGCAGTGAATGCTGTCACAGGGCAGACTCAAACTGTAAACCATGAGTTAACTGTTATAGGTATGTGAATAGCTGCCATATAGGTATATACATATCAAATAACATGTGTGTTTCAGAAGAGAAAAAAATGCATTAGGATCTTCTTGGGTGTTTTTTTCAGATTTCTCAGACTGTGACTGCTCAGCTGTTGCTGCAATTGCTATTATCATAACAGCTGGATGTTGTATTATTGTTGCAACAGTGAGTGGAACAATTGTGTACAGTCTGATAAGGAGGAATAGGTAAGCATAAAACAGGTTATGATTTATGTTGAAAAACAGTCCATAGTGGCCATAATTATGTTATCTGGAACAGTACTTGTACAAGATGACATAAATGTCCTTACAATGATGCCACATACACAGTAAATAATATATAATACAGATGTATTAACTAACGTAACCCAATTGAATGTAATAATTCATGAAAAAATACTTAACTGAAACATGAATACATTTTATGATAATATTGTTGTTATTGTACATTATTATTGCCACCATAATTGTATAGTTAAAATCTAAAAATGTAAAAGCCCTTCTTTGGAGATTTTAGGAAGCTGGTTCAAAAAAGGAATTTGAGTAACATCTGCTAGGTCACATATTAACAATGTCTTATTTAAATTTTTCAGAGTCGTTTATCCAGCACACCGAAAACGTTAGTATCCAAGTTCAATGACAATGAAAATACTTGTTTCTTAATAAGAAAAGTCACCAAATGAATCATGAAATGTAACACCCCTTTGTTTTTGTCTTAGAACAATTAAGTGTGAAGGAGAACAATTCAGACTTGTATAAGATCTCAAGAACAGACCCACATGACTTGTATTCCTTTAAAGGTGAGTTGGATGTGAATGAATAATAATGATTCAGTGAGCTCACATTTTTGTACCTGTGGTCTGTGTTTAATCAGTGTGTGTGTCACAAACAAAACTACTGTATTTACTTTAGTAGCTCTGTTTGTCTCTTTTTTGTTCAGATTGGTTCATAAATGACACACATTGTTTTAGTTCAATAATTACTGACAACATTTAGTTGGTGTGCTGTTGATCAAAACACTGAAACATATTTCTAATTGTTTGTTTCCTCCTGCAGCATAGAAAAGACTCATGAGAAGACTTTTACAATTTCAAAGATCAACAGTAAGAAGAAATAAAGCAGCAGTGTTATTGTTTTTTTGATTTATTTATTCAACCATTTTCTGCCTCCTTCAGATTACTGTTCATCGTGAGTTTGATGTTAGATGTATAATGTAGCTGCATTGCAACTTTTATGAATGATTTTATAAATGTCTGATGGTTATGCAAGAATTGGATACACAATGGATATGTATATGTAAGATATTACAAAAGTAATTATTAACAATAAAGCAAAGGGACATGTATTTTATTATACAACACATGGTATGTATATATGTGTTTATTCAATAAACATTGTCTGGATCCCCAGTGCCTTCTGTATTACTGCCTCTGTCACAATGCCTGGGCCAAAAGGAGAAAATATTTTTACACATCAAAATTTTTTCGTAATTACTATAGGGCTCAAGCAAAAGAAAAATGGTTCCACAGTTTGTCAAACATTTATCAGAACAAAAGATAAGATGTTGTTATCTAGATTGACTCACTTACCAAGCAAATTAATACAACAGAAAACAAAGTTTTACCATCAAAATTCACAAAACGTAACAGGCAGCAACATTCAGCTGTTATCTGCATGCAGCCACTGAGACTACTTCACTACTGTCAGATCAACAGCACACCAATGTTAGCTTATTTCAACAACATGGGCAATCTCTGCAGATACAGCCACAAAACAATACAATAACAATAATAATATATTCACTATCTATTACTAAACATAAACTACCACAGTATAAGGTTGTACTAGCTTTACCAAAGACTACAGGTATGCTAGCAGTTCTGTGTTGCTGCACTGTATTGTGACGCTTTAGGCTAATTGCTAAAATAAAAATCAGACTGACAATGTTAACATGCTGGTGTTTAGCAGGCATAATGTTTACCATGTTCACTGCCTGAGTTTAGTGTATTAGCGTGCTAATTAGCAGTAAACACAGCGAAGGCCTACAGCTGAGGCTGATGGGAATGTCAGTTTTGCCGGTATTTGGTCATAATTAAAAGTAGACTACTGGACACAATTTAATGTCAATCTATCCCACATTTAATTTTAAACATCAAATGTCAAAATCATGACACTGGAGGAAAAGGCTGGGGTTTAACAAAGTCATGAATTAGGGCTGTGTCTGGGAATAATGAATTTGTGCATCTAGCAAGATGTTGAGATTTACAATGTAAGTGAAAACCTTGACCTGCTGGTGGCACTGCAAGAAGTCAACAGGATTCATCCTCTGGACACAATGAATGTCTTTACAAAATGTTAGTACAATCCATCCAATAGTTGCTGGACTAAAGTGGTGGACGGACGTTGCTATCCCTGGAGCCAACATTTCTAACAATTGTGTTATGTTATGTATGAATCTTAGCAAAAGTCAACAAATAAAATGAGCACACAGCTTGTTCTGCTGATAAATCTGCATGTCCTGGATTTTGCAGCAAACTAGGTTAACAACCCTAAACCGTGGGCTATTTGACCATTTGTGTACCTTTCCATTCAAGTCAATAAAGCCCCACCTTATCAAATTATAAAAGGCAGGTGTCCAAATGTTAGTTAGACCATTAATGAAGTGGTGAACAATGCTTCTCTAGACTTTTGATGAATTTTGAGGTCATGCTTAGACACAGTATGTAATGTAATGTTGAGAAGGGTTAAGAATTCCCACCAACTCAACATGACTTTCTTTGATGTCTTTAACAGATGATGAAGTTTAAAATTGTGTATAAGCTTGTCAGACAATTCACTCCAAGCAGCTCTGCTACACATATCTAACGGACTAAACATGATAGTGACCGCCTAATATTGCAATGTTCATAATATATTAATGATGCCAAATTTCCTAAGGGATCATTAAGTTTTATTTCATTGAATGTACTCAACTCTTATCTTTGAAGCTCATATAGCAATCACAGGTGAGAACAGATAGATAAGCTGCTTTGATATGAAACAGTTTATCTTTTTTTTATCACTTTTCTATTTGTCATCTTACATTTACTTTTTATTTAATGAGTATTGGTCCTCTGCTGCATATTTGGTAGTATTTATTCATTCTGAGCACTGTAAACAAAGCAATGACATCAGCTGCAATTTATTGATGATTCCTTGCAACCAAATTGTTCCTATTCTTTAACAATTTGCTTGTACATTGGTTTACATTTTCAAATGTGAACAGATGCTATTTAAATAAGGTTTTGGTTACTTATCCTACTTAGATATGGCATACAGTACACATGCATATGTTGAGTTAATCTTTCAGCAGCTCTGATCATAATGTCAGATGGGTTAGTGACTAATTTGGCAACATTAATATATTTGTTTATTGATTGGTGGACTAGTAACCTGTCCTTTTACTCTCTCCTCTGTCCAGTGTACGCTGAATAAGGCTCCGGGTAGAGAAGATAAACTGACCAGTTATTGTATTACAGTACATAGTATAAAATGATGATGATTAGTCTCTTTCATAACAGAAATAGCATTTAAACAATAAGGCTAAAACACTGTA